CTATTTCATATTATTTGACACTTACCAGGTAGTAGCCTGGTTTTCTTTTCATGTAAATGTCTTCTTCTTAATTACAAGTTCCTTACAGAAGGAAATCCTATTTCACCCTGATCACAGGAGTCGGGCACGGAAAACCCTTCTGGCTTGAGAGGTAGGGACGAGTCACCCTCCCACTTACTTCTGACTGGCCTCCATCTCCAACAGCGCAGACAGAGCTGAGGTTCCCTTCTTCCCAACTGGAGGGCCGGCTGACTCAAGAGAGTGTGTGGGAATAGGCCCGGTCATCTGCAAGCCTTTCATGGCAGCCCCTTTCTAAAGCAGAGAAGAGGAGACAAGGTCATCACCCCATGTGGCTCTCTCAGTGTAAGCCATTCACACCCCAGCACCTGCTGCTGCATCCTCAGGCTCTGGGAATCCAATAAACAGAGTTGAAGAACATGGGTGTTCAGTAAATGACAGAAAACTGTTTTTCACTCACTCACGGCCTGGAGGACAAAAAAAAATCTGCCTCTTTGTGCATCATCTCATTTTATCCTCACCACAGCTCTATGAAGTAAATGACGTTATCCCTATTTTACAAAAAAAGAAACAGAGGCTCAAAGAGGTTAAGCAATTTACCCCAAATCCCACTGGAACTAGAATTCAAACTCCAGTGACCTAACTTCAAAACCAAAGTTCTTTCCACTATACAAGCTCTCCCGGAAATGTTCCTAATCATAAGTGATACTGTGTACAAAAGGCAGCTGGTGTGGGAAGAAGAATCCTGAATTTGAGGTTAAAAACACAAAAATAAGGACACAGCTGATTATGAAACACCACCCAGCAATTAAAAAGAATGAACTACTGATATATATAACAACATGGATGAACCCCAAAGTATTAAGCTAAGTGAAAGGAGGCAGCCTCAAAAGCTTACATATTGTATGATTCCATTTTCTGTGGTGTTTGGAAAAAACAAAACAGACCAATGGTTGCCAGGGATTAGAGATGGGGCAAAATGTGACTAAAACAGTAGCAAGAAGAAATTTTTTTAAAAGTGATGGAACTATTCTGCATCCCAATTGTGGTGGTGGCTACAAAAATCTATACAACAGTTAATATTCATATTAAACACACACACACACACACACACACACACACACACACACATGTCAATTATACTATATGTTAATTAAAACAAAACAAAACCATACTGAATCCCAGATCTGCTCCTCATGGGTAGGTGGCCTCAGACATATTCCATCACCCCCATGAGCCTCAGTCTCTCCACTGGGCAATGTATGATTGAAATGAGGCACGAGCGTGCTAGGAACTCTGAAAGTGACAGAAGAGTAAGGAAGGATCGCTGCTGTTGGCCTCCTAAGAGTTTCTACTCAGCAATTCAGCACTGAATCGCACAGGCAGCTGCGCTCGACACTCGGTCCCACTTGGGGAGCACATCAAAGCTGTGTCCTCAGGCAGAGAGGGGTGGCTCGAGGCCAAGGAACACTGCCCAGTTACTGTCTGCACCAATCCCTCCCTCCTTCATCCTGCAGTGGAGGAGAACACACTAGTTTGGATTGAAGACAAATGTCGGACAGTTGTGGAGTAAATAAACTAGTCGAACAGAGGACTCTGCGATAGGAGGAGGTAGATCCTACATCCCAGACCATGCCTGGGTTCCAGAGAGTCCATGGAGCCCTCACCCGCATCATGCGATCTGACCGATGTCGTCTGCGGATCCGGTTCAAGCCCTCCACAAAGCGGATAAAGCCATCCAGGAGTTGCCACTCATCCTCATCTGCACGGGGTCTGTCCCCATAGATGTCGCAGTGCACCTCCCCCTCTGTGATGCGCTTGGTGGCGGTGACACAGGCTGGCAGCAGCAGGAAGCGGGTCCTCCAGAACTTCAGAGACTCGATTAAGCTACAGAGGGCCAAGGAAAACACAGAGTGGGAAATAGGAGATGATGAAAGTGCTCCCAGTGAACACTCACTCTCTGGAGTGGGTGTGTAAGGGTCCACCTCCCCAAGAGTACGTGTTTATCTGACACTACAGCTCATGCTTCGCTGAAAATGTATGTTCTAAAGGAAGACCACGAAGATTGCTTTTTTTTTTTTTTTGAGACAGAGTCTCACTCTTTTGCCCAGGCTAGAGTGCCGTGGCATCATCCTAGCTCACAGCAACCTCAAACTCCTGGGCTCAAGCGATCCTCCTGCTTCAGCCTCCCGAGTAGCTGGGACTACAGGCATGCGCCACCATGCCCGGCTAATTTTTTCTCTATATTTTTAGTTGTCCGATTAATTTCTTTCTATTTTTAGTAGAGACGGGGTCTCGCTCTTGCTCAGGCTGGTTTCGAACTCCTGAGCTCAAACAATCTCCCCCCGCCTCGGCCTCCCAGAGAGCTAGGATTACAGGCGTGAGCCACCAAGATTGCTTTTGCTTTAACCCCGGAGATGTCAGAATGCTTCTGTGCACCCAGGCCCAATGAAGTTGTGGTTTTTGTATCTCCACAATCATAAATCACACACAAAAAAATCAAACATTGAAAAGGAGACACCACAAAGCTATCAGCCAACTAATGAGGAAACCGTTAAGAACATGATCTGCACTGACATTTGCATCAAGGAGCACATCATTGCTGCGTTTTGTTTTGTTTTTCTCAATTGTGGTGAAATATACGTAACAAAATTTACTTTAACCGATTTTAAATGGACAGTTCAGTGGCATTAAGCACATTCACGCTGTTGTGCAACCATCACCACCGTCCATCTCATAACTGAGCTTCTAACCCAATGCAGATGTACCGTTGCTTTTCCTTTTTTTCCCTAAAACAGACATCATTTTGCCATCAGGAAAAAAGGACAGAAAGTGTTAAAATACACATATGCTCAAGGCTACAAGGATGGAAAGCCAAAGCTCGTTCTCTGACCTGAAGTCCTCGGAGCCTGCAGAACAGATATACTGATCTAAGTAATTCCATTTGTACTCCTCCAGCCGTTCGTGGGAGAATTCCACCCAACAGGAGACGAACTCCGAGTCTGAGTGGGAAGGGCAGAGGCTGTAGGTGTAGTTGATCTGGGCAGATTCATAAGGGTACCTAGAAAATAAAGGGCAGGCCCAGACGTTCAAAAAGAGAATTCCCCCCAACTCTCCTCTACCTTTTCTCTCTCTACACGTTTAGCACTATTCTTAAAATTCAACCCTCAACTGTAGTAACCAACTCATCCCAGGGAACTGTAAAGGAAATTTCTCAGATCATCTTAAACTTTTCCATTCTTCTCTCCTCATATTCTTTTTTTTTTTATTTGTGTATATTCATGGGGTACAGGTGTAATTGTTACGGTGATATATTGCATTATCTCTTCACATTCTTAATTTTTAATTGGCTTGTTATGAGTCATGCTAAACACTGTAAGATGAATCGAATCCCTTTTGGAAATAAGTAAGCTAAAACCCTAAAAGAACCCTAGAAAACAAAACAAAAACTCCAAGAGAAAAATCAATCACTCAACTTCTTTGGTTTGAATTATGTACTATACTCATAATTTAGTCCTCGGACATAATCCAGGACAATAGCTGAACACCTTAAACATCCAAGGACTCACTTGGGAAGGTACCGTGTCACTGTGATCATCTTATCCTTCAGCGTCACTTTATGGAAAGTTCTGCCCATACTCAGCCAGTACTGGTCCTCCTCCTCGGGGCGGTTTCGGGACACAAGACCTAACAGAGAAAAATGATAACTTACTCCAGCTGGTTGAGGTGCATTCCTACAACAGGCAATTGCTCCTCATTCATAAGGATTCAGGAAAGGAGAAACAGAAGAGGCAACACTTTGCTTTTGAGGGGCAGTTTCATGAAAGAAAGCTGTTCTTGGTTACGAAAAAAAAGTCCTGAGGTTGGTTTATTTTTCTGTTACTAAACCAACCAGCAGCAGATCAGAGCTTGAGGGTGTTGATAGCACCTAGACAACACCCTCAAAGCTGAACAACCTGATGCTTCATCCTCTGTGGAGGAATGCTCTGGAGTAAATGTTAATAGGCTAAGAGATGACTGTGGAACTGAAATGGAACTTCACTTCACTCAAGCACAAGCTGCCCACCCTGACATGTGAGGTCCTCACCCCATGGTGGCACCAACCCAGCTTTCTGGCCTCTACTCCTACACTGCTTAATCAAGTTTCAGTCTTAAAAGACCATTGATTTATTTGCTGCAATTTCCTTCCTCTAAACATTTGCTTGGGTTGCTTCTTCTGCCTTCTCACCATCGAAATCCTACGGATCACTTAAAGTCAGCATCAAATGCCACTTTCTCCAGAAAGCTGTCAGATCCCACCAGCAGTCTGAATTCTACCTTGTATGTAGCTCCTTATGTGTGTGTCTCTCATATCCTTATTAAATAAAAGTTCCAGAAGGCCACAGAACTGTTGTTCAGTTTTTTGTTTTTTGGGGTTTTTTTTTTTTGAGATAGTGCCTTGCTCTGTCACCCAGGCTGGAGTGCAGTGGTGCCATCATAACTCACTGCAGCCTCAAACTCCAGGGCTCAAGCAATCCTCCTTCCTCAGCCTCCCGAGTAGCTGGGACTACAGGCATGTACCACCACACCCAGCTAATTTTAAAATATTTTTTAGAGATAGGATCTCACTATGTTGCCCAGGCTGATCTTGAACTCCTGGCCTCAAGTGATCCTCCCACCTCAGCCTCCTGAGTTGCTGGGATTACAGGCATGAGCCACTGTACCCAGCTTTAAGGTATTCAAAAAAATATTAGTTGAATTGAACACAGAAAAGAGGAAAATAATGATAAATCAAGAAAATAACAAGTATTCAAGAGAATAAAAATTGTGCCTCGAAGAACTGAGCCAAGTCAAAATTTCCTTGGTCTAGAAATGAAATGCAGCCCTTTGGTTCAGCTGAGAGATAGTCAGTCACACAATGGCAGGCAGCATGAGAGTGGTAAGGAGGAGAGAGGACAACAGAGGCTAAAAGAACCTTTACCATGAATGTGGAAATTTCCCAGATGATGCCAAGGGAGCAGCAGGCCAGATGCATATAAGAAAGAGGTGAAGCTTTGACTCATGGGACCCCAGGTTAAACCCCAGCTCTTTCATTTGCCAGCTGTGTGATCTTGGGCACCAAATCTCTCTGGGTCTTGCTTTCTCAGAGAGCATGCCCCCATCCAAACCTTCCTTAAGTTCTGCAACAAATACCCTGCTGGCTGTCAGGAAGATACTGTCATGGGATAATATTCACGAACATCTAGCGTGGTACCCTGATACCTTATTCTAAATTTGGTATACCCCAGTTATTCCTGTTTTTATCCTGCACAGTATTCTTCACAATCTATGATCAAATACACACTTGTGGCTTACTGGTTTAATATGTCTCACCCAGTGGACTGTAAACTCCGAGGGCAGGGCCAATGCTGTTCTATTCCCTGCCGGAACAGGGCCTGGCTCACATTCAGTATTCAATAAATCCGCGATGAGTGAGCAGCACAGGCTTGGTTATGAGGGAAACTTTGCCAGTAATTAAACAACGGTACCATTTCTGTTACTATAGAAATGAGAGAGATTAAACTTATCAAAGGAGAAAAATAATGGTCAGGCAAGTAGCCTCTGGCCAGCTAGCCATGACATAAGGCTCATGAATCAGCCAGGAACAGAACTGGACACTGGAGGAATTATTATAGGGACATCAACCAGCCATTCCAGAGAAAAGCAAGTGGGCAGCCTGGATGGGTCCAGTTACACTAAATGAGAATTCATTCCACTGTTCTTGGGATAAAGAACAAAATCCTTCACATAGTCCTGTGAGGTCTCCTCATATGTCTGGCTCACTCCTTGTGCTCCATCACACTAGCCTTCTTTTTGGTCCCTAGAAAGTATCATAATGCCTCCCGCCACAGGGCCTTTGCACAAACCAATCCCTCAGCCTCCCATACTCTTCCTTTCTATTCCCACTCTCCACTCCCAACCTACCTCTCTTCATAACCTCTGCACATATTTCTAAGCTCAAACATCACTTCCTCCAGGAAGCCATCCCTAACCCTCCAGACCAGATCAGGCCACGTATTAAATATCCTCACAGCCCCTCAACTTTTCCCTCACAGTCTGTATCACAACATGTAATTATACTTCATAGTTTGACTACTGTTATTTTCCCCACTGGGCTATAAGTCCCTTTCCAGAGTAGAAGCTTCAAAGACATTGTTGAATGAATGAGTGAATGAATGATTCATGTATTTATTGACCTGGCCCATACTGCTGTGTGCCAGGCACTGTGGTCTCCTTTGTGGAGGATAAAAAGATGAACTGGAAAAAGTCCTGGTACTTGAAAAGGTTAATATTCAGAAGGGTCCGGAATATGAATAGAAGGCAACATGCAATAGAAGTCACAAGGGGCTTTCAAAGAAAATCCAGAGGGAGGGTGGGGTGGGTAAGCCCACAGCTAATGGAGACGGGGCGCACTGTATGGGGGAAGAACACACTTGTGGCCCTGGCTTGAGTGAGGCAAATGAATTTCATGTAACCAAAATATTTGTAATCCCATAATATCCTGAATTAAAAAAAGAAAACCCAGAGGGAGTCCAAAGCTTCATCTGCAAACAACGGGGCCTGGCCTGGATGACCACTGAGCTCCCTCTAGCAGGTTCACACTTGTCTGGCCCTCTGGCCAGAGGAGCTTTCATGGAGCCAAAGATGGATGTGGGGTTTAGAACTAGGTGATTACGGGAGTGCAGGGGGTCTCATTCGCAGTAATGAGGAAGCAGAAGACTAAGACAGCTCGCTGATGGTTCCAGGAAGTGAGTCCTGCTAATTCCAGGCACCCACACTTAATTCTTTCTGTTAGACTTATTTTAGAAGCGTGCTCCACAGCCTGGCTCTAATTCAATTAGCATTACCAATTTTGTCACTTATTAGCTTCTGCCACTCACAGATGACCCATTCTTGCTTCAAAAGTCACTAAGCTTCAGTGATAAAGAAGAAAAGATGAACCCAGAATAGGAGAAAAAAAGAACAAGTGTAAACTTCAGGATTAGGTAACATCTGAGAACCTGCCATGTACCAGTGACTGTGCTACTAACAATGAAACATAGCTTTCTGGGGTTAGAATATTCACTGTATATTTTGACAGCTCAGTATTGGCTCAGTTGTCTGCTCCTAGGTGTTGTTCTAGCCAGGCTGCGCCATTCCCAAACTTGGTCATATTCTCTTCCTTAAAAGGAGAGCTGTAAATTAAAGAGAGTGTTTGAGATAAATCCGCACCTAATGGAGACTTTATTCCTCATGTAACATAAAATTTGGAAGGGAAAATTTTGTGTTGAAAACAATTACTCCTCAATTTATCTACTCCCTACCATCTTGAAAACCTACTCTCACAAATTTAGTAGAAAAGAAAAAATGAGTCCAAGGAGAAAAACTCACCTCGGCTATAGAGTGGGCTACTGCTCAGTGGAGGCGGGACAGCGGGGTTGGGTTTCTGCGCCTTGGGCTGCACGATGATTTGGTAGCCCTGCATGAGACGCTGGCAAATGAACTCTTCAAACACCTGCTGGGCCGTCATCTGTACACCCTCCTCATCCCTCCTAGAAAAACACGGTTGATCACATGGACACTTGGCCTGGGGCAGTGACGCTTAAGAGTACATAGTCCCATCCTCTGCTTGGCTTTATCCCTGATAACCATTCCATGGCAGTTCACAAAACTAACAATTTGTAAACCAGTTTTGGGAGAATCGATCAGTTCAAAGACGTGGAAAAAGAAGGTGGGTAATTCAATGCCCAACTGAATAAAATGAGTAATCTCAGAGAAGGAGATCAGATTTAGTGTGCCAAAAATAACTGCATTAGAAAATACGAGAAACATCCATGAGGAGAAATTGTTAATGTCAATACACATCTAAAGAAATTAACAGTTCTTGCATCATAACATTTCCCAAATATAAAAGGAGGACACAGGTTTGAAAATTCAGTGTTCTGATGCATAGGTTGGGATATACCCAGAAACCTCACAAATCAAGCTGAGTGTCTTTTTCTCTGACACTGACCTGTCAATATCTGCTTCTGGGAGGAGATCATAACAGCCCTCCGTGTAGTCGTTCTGCAGGCCCTGGCGGTCAGGGAAGTAGTCGGTGGTGAGGGGGAGGCACGCCGGAGTAGTGAGAGACTTCCAGTCCACTCCAACTGTGCAACAGAAGCCTGGCACTACAGGGGGAGCAGACAGTGTCAGAACTGCCTCATGTAACAGTGGAAAAAGGTACATGTGGTCACCATGGCAGATTTGGGATGTGGGGCGGGGGGAGGAAAGGGAAGGAAAGGTGGGGAAAGTTCATGGTAAAAGGTGATAAAATTGTCAGGATAGGGAGGGATAAGAGGAAAGGGGGTAGGGGAGAAAGAGAAAGAGAAAAACAGAGTTTGTTAGACAACGCAGTGCACATGCTTATCCAATCCCATCATGCAAATGGGATTCACAGCTGATACTTTTCATTTTCTGCTGATCATGAGCTACAGCCGCAATGCGGGTGAGGTTACTGCAGGGCAGGCAGAGTTACACATCGAAGCAAATCAACATTCCAAGAGCAGATGAAAGGCTCAAGCCGGAGCCTCTCCCAAGGACTGCAGAGTGGCTGGGTGGGGAAAGGAGGAGAGCTCAGCCCGATTTGGGAGCAAACAGCATACAGTAGCAGAAGTAAGGAATACTTCCAGAATCGCAAAAATAAGTAACAGATCCAAAAGGGTAGGAGAAAAAATCAAATGAGGATGTCTGGGAATGTTACGAGTTTAATAATCCAGAAATGAAAGCTGCAATCAGCAGAGTGGGCCTGACCACAAAGGTCTGTCTGGAATTGCCTGCTTCTCAGTTAAAGCAGGGTTTCTCAACTTCAGCAACTATGGACATTTTGAACCAGGCAAATCTTTGTTGGGGAGTCCGGGGTGCTGTCCTGGGCATTGTAGAATGTTGAGCAGCATCACTGGACTCTACTCAACTGCATGCCACTGGCATCCCTTGGTTGTGAAAACCAGAAATGTCTGCAGACTTTGACACATGTCCCCTGGGGAGTGAAATCCTCCCCAGTTGAGAATTATTAAGTTAAAGTATTAGGGCAGTTATCTCTTTAAGATTATTTTTTAAATCTCTAAGAGGGTGTAATACGTAGCAGAAAAACTCTATGCCTTTGCCTTTGAGCCCTGAGCAGGATACTCGCACACCTTATATTTGTACAGTGCTAGACGGCTCACAGTGTGGCGTAGTCCCTGTTGCCTCATCATCCCTCACATCGCCCTCATGTCAGTGAAGAAGAAAACTTAGGTGCTAAGTCACAGCAGGAAGATGCCCCATGTAGCACTATTGACTTGGCAAAGATGATTTAATCTGCAGTGGGCCTAACTCCATGGTCTACACAGGTCTTGTTAACTCATTAATACTTCAGGAATTCAAAACACAGCCCAGAATAGCCTAATTAATCACCTCAATTTCCCTATATGGCAGACAAGGGGGTGAGATTCTTCCTATTTCCTGGTTAGAACTAGGAACAGAAAGTAGATACCCGATCAAAGCCCCAGTGGGGAAGCCAGAAATAGAAGATAGCTAAATCTTCATGTCCTCTTAGATCACTCTGGCCCTCTCCACCTTACTGACCCTCAGGATTATAAAAACTATGTAGAAATGTTTTCTGCTGGGCACACATCAAGAAACAGAGGATTTAAATGCTTAGTCCAAAATCCCATGATGAGAAAGATTCCTGATTCTAAGTTTAATGATGTTCTGTCCTTGGGAAAAGAATGCAGCCTCTTTTCTAACTCTGGTATCTTCTGGTCCTGAAAAGTAGGCCTTTCAGGAAGTTCCACCTCAGAACCACTAAAATAACAACAATGAACATAGGTAACAAAATCCAGTGCTGGGGCTATAGAGAAATAGGATCATCTATTCATTGTTGGCAGCTTTCTGTAAAATAATCAATCTGCCAGTCATACCTTGGGAAATATAATCCAAGGACATGAACCTAAAGAAAAAAGAAAAAAAATACACCCACTGTGCCATGCATTATACCTGCATTATATGCTATCGCTAAAAAACAGAAAACCATCCAATGGTCACCAGTAAGAAATGACTATTCAAAACCAGGATATAGTAATGTGCTTGATATTGCCATTACAAATGACTAATAGGAGAGACCCGAAGAAATAGTGAAAGCATTATAAAGTTAATCATAAGTGGGGACAAAAAGACCCAGTGACATATATCCACTGATCACAGCTATGTAAAATAAAGTTTATCAGGTGGTAGGATTTTTTGTGCTATTTTGTTACTGTAGACATTTAGATGTTGCACAGCTACTTAAATAGACAAGGATGATCAAAATGAACACAAACCAGCCAAATATTTTCAACTATAGATCTGTAAACGGTTCCAGTAACAGCCTATTACTTCTTTCCAACTTTTTCCCCCCGAGACATAATAAGGCATTTAAAGACTAAGGCCAGCTGTGCACTGGCACAAGAACACTGTGGGAAATTTGTTATCCTTCCTGTGTGTTCCTGAATCACATTTCATTCAGCCTCACCCCTCTCACTTCCCAACAGAGTCCAGAGTCCTCTTTCACCACACCACCTTCCCGTACCCCACAGATGTGTGGACTTCCAGACCATTCCCTTCCCACAGGGCTTCCTCTTGCTTCCTCATGCTCTGATCACCCCAGACTCCCTCCCCTTCACCCCCATTTCCCCCGTCAGCTGCCCCCTCTTACTTGGTTCTGGAGAGTTAGAAACATTGTCTTCTAGAGAATCCTTATTCTGGGTCCTAGGATTCATACCTATAGAAAGACAAAAATAGCTTTTCTTAATAAGGCTTATTCTGAAAAAGAGTCAACCTGTTATGGATGAAAAAGGCCAAAACTGTAGCTAAAAATAAAAATGTGAGCCAAGTGCAAATTCTGTGCTGAGTATTTCCAACAGCACAGAAGAATCAATAAAAGAAAAATGATCAATCCAAAATTTGGAAGTGAGCACTTTGGGAGGCCAAGATGGGAGGACTACTTGAGGTCAGGAGTTGGAGACCAGCCTGGACAATAGTGAGACCCTGTCTCTACAAAAAAGTTTTTTAAAAAATTAGCTGGGGCCGGGCGCGGTGGCTCACGCCTGCAATCCTAGCTCTTTGGGAGGCCGAGGCGGGAGGATCACTTAAGCCCAGGAGTTGGAGACCAGCCTGGACAATAGTGAGACCCTGTCTCTACAAAAAAGTTTTTTAAAAAATTAGCTGGGGCCGGGCGCAGTGGCTCACGCCTGTAATCCTAGCACTCTGGGAGGCTGAGGTGGGTGGATCGTTTGAGTTCAGGAGTTCGAGATCAGCCTGAGCAAGAGCGAGATCCCATCTCTACTAAAAAAAAAAAATACAAAGACATTATCTGGACAACTAAATATATAGAAAAAATTAGCCGGGCATGATCGCGCGTGCCTGTAGTCCCAGCTACTCGGGAGGCTGAGGCAGGAGGATTACTTGAGCCCAGGAGTTTGAGGTTGCTGTGAGCTAGGCTGACGCCACGGCACTCTAGCCTGGGCAATAGAGCAAGACTCTGTCTCAAAAAATAAAAAATAGAATAAAATTTGGAAGTGAGCCAGAACTTTAATCTAAGATTATTAATAACATTCTTTGCCAAAAGAAATCCCCCCCCACACACAAGTAACTCATCACTTATTTTAAGAAATTAGAGACATCTCAAAGTCATTTCAACTAATTAGAGCAATCTTTAGCAAATATAAGATAACCTACTTAAATTAAGTCCACTCATCAGCCATCCTTATCTTCTGGAATTTTCTTCCCCAAATCATGGCTTTCTGGACTCTGTCATAGAACATCAAAACTCACTACTTTAACAGAAAAATGATTTTACCTATAACTAGGCTGAAAGGAAAAACAGGGTGATCCTCTGAAATGCAACTTATTGACTGTAAAGTAACAGACCTATCGATATATAAGCATCCCTTCAAAACAATATATTTACTAGAAAATTATGATACCGTAAAAAGAATTGGAAAGATCCTCACCAAACTGTCAACAGTGGCTCTCCGAGAAGAAAATTGGAGGAGGAAGTAGGAGGCAATAAAGAACTTGTACTTTTTACTCTAAATATTAATACTTTTGTGTCATTTGAATCTTTTATAATAAGAACAAATATTTATAAATTCCTTGTGAAATCTTTGAAAAAACAAGCTACGATCTGGGAGAAAGCACTTGTATATCACACATCTGGCAAAGGACTTGTATCCAGAATACAGAGGACTCTCGAAATTCAAGCGCAAAAAAACAAACAAGCCGATGAGAAAACAGACAAAGGACTCAAAGACACTTCACCAAACATCATACACAAAAGGCAGATAAGCACATAAAAAGATGCTCAACATCATTAGTCATTAGGGAAATAGGAAGTTTAAAGCACAGTGAGGTACCTTTACATGCCTAGCTGAATGACTAAAATGACTGATCATAGCAAGCGTTGACAAGGCTGTGGAGCAACTGAAACCTTTATACACTGCTGGTAGGAATGCAAAATGGTACATCATTCCGGAAACCAGTTTTAACAAAGATTTACCATTTGACCCAGCCATCACATGCCTAGAAATGTACATAAGTAAAAATTTAAGTTCATAAAAAACTTTGTTCATATAAAATTATGTAAATGTTGATAGAAACTTTATTCATAGTCACCAAAACCTGAAACAGGTTTAGTCTTTCATCTGGGGAGAGGATAAACAAACTGTAGTACATCTATACGATGGAATACTACTCAGTAATAGAAAGTAATGAACTACAGGTGCATGCAATAACTTGGATGAATCTCAAATGCAATATGCTGAGTGAAAGACTCAGAAGGCTACACATTGTATGGCACCATGTACATGACATGCTGGGAAAGGCAAAACTAGAGGGGCAGAGAACAGATCAGTGGTTTCCAAGGGACAGGGGTGGGGTTGAGTACAAAAGGACGGCACAAGAGAATTATGGGGAGTGAGGGGAATGTTCCCTATCTTGATGTGTTTATTGGTAGGTATGTGGTTCTATGCATTTGTCAAAACTCATAGAGCTGTATACTAAAAAGAGTGAATTTTATTGGAAGTGAATTTTAAAATAAGTAATATTTTTAAGTTTAAATAGATGATGTCTCTTGGCCAAAAGAATTTCAGAACTTTTTTGGAACTGCTTGGAGCAGATTTTTTAAAATTATTAGTCATAAAAATAGAAGATATAATTTATTAAGTCAAACAAATAAAGTATTTCATTTCATTCAAACTCACACCAGGAGGTAGATATGAGGTAGGAAGGATCCTTTCGCATAGATCAAGAAACTGAGGGTCAGAAAAGTTAAGTAACTTACTGAAGATCTCAGAGTAAGTAGGTGGAAACTGCATTTAGATTCTTTCTGCTCAACTTTACAGATGCTCTATTTCTTGACTATCCATCTGGGGCACCAATTTTTAGCTGTTGAAATGTTATCTGTTTTTTGTCAATAGCCAAAAGCCATTTGGAGCTAAAGTTTCTCAAAAAACAATCTTGGCTGACAATATCCATTTTTATGCAAACATAAAGCCTGATTATAAAGAAACAATGAGATGAATTTTCTTATTCAGCATGAGAACTGGTATGAAGGCAATCGAAAAACTGGCATTTGCAAAACATTCTGAGCAATAAGAGAAATATTAAATACATCACCTCCCAGGTTAGGATCTTAAGTTTGATAATCTGATCACTTGTTATTTTATTGTTGTTGCTCTTAAGAAAATCCAACCCAGACTTGGTCTATGAGGCAATTGAAATTCTTACCCTAATAAAGAAACAGTCAACTTATCAGAGCAGCGTGGGGTCCTAAGCCAAAAGTAGACTTGTGCCATCTCTAATGGAAACACACACAAGTATGCACAGAAATTTTAAGGAAAAAGCAATTTAAAGAAATAAATATTTTAAGGGCTTCTGGGAAGCTACTTACACATAGTTTCCTTGCGGTCCAAACCCAACAACACATGCCTTTCACACTGGCTCTGCCTTTGAGGCCTTATTTTCAGTGGAGCAGACTTGCTGTTGACATATGAAGAGCCCCACCAACCTGTGATGATGGAGGTAAGACCTCATGGTCGGTTAGCTCTGCTCCAACCCAACATTTGGGAATGAAGTCTCACTCTCAAAGTTCAAAGCCAGACACACAACTTGGGGAGCCAATGCTGACAAGAGTCATCTCAGTTCTGTCTCTTTGACATCTGTTCAGAATTAAGAAGTGTGAACGTGTTCTCTAATTGTAAACCTCAAGGCCAAAAAGGGTACTTAGCGTGGATCCTCTGGGGCTGGTCCCAGGCCGCCATCTAGAAGATTGTACCTGGGGCAAGTGGTTTCTCCTCTCTGGACCACAGAGGTGGCACTTATCCATAAAAAACCCAACCTGGCCTTGGTCAATGACTAGGAGGTCCTTCCTTCTAGCCTTAGTGTGCTGTGATTTTTTTTATTTTAGCTCTCAGGCCAAATCTGCCACATGCACCTAACATTCAACACAAACACCGAGTTTGCAGATTTTGAGTCCCAACATTAAAGAGAAAGAAAACACAGCATCTACTTATTTTCTTTTTCAAAATGATCTACCTCCAATAAAGCAAAAGACACTTACTAACAACTTCTTCTAAACTGGTCTCCAGTTAAAGAAACAGAGGGATAAAAACTATCTGCCCAATCCCACCAGCTGCCTGGGCCCTGCTGGGCAGCACGGTGAGAAATAAAGGAAGAGTGCAGCTCTGAGGCCCCCAACAACACTCCAGATGAAACTCTACGGGGCCAGAAGGGAAACCCACAGAGACGCGACTCCTGTGAATCATGACTCACATATGAATCATGCCCAAATACAGGAGAAAATCTGAGTCACGCTTGAGTGCCTACAGATGGTGCAAATCAACCAGCCCCAGGGAGGTGAAGGTGGGGTCACAGAAAAGGTTTTCCTGTTTATGTTTTTTTGTTTGTTTGTTTTTATTACAGGATATTCTTTTATGTTTTTTTGATGAATGAAATGTTAACTGTTTGTGTGTTTAGAACTGCCTTGTCCCAAAACAAGGATTCAATGTAGTAACCTTGCCCTTAACAAACCCAACCTACTTTTGATCCTGACAACAACTCTGCTGGGTAGGCAGGTAAGAAAGGATCTTTATGCCCATTACACAGATGAAGAACCTGAGGCTCAGCAAAGACTAAAGGCTCAATTCCAAAGGCCAGTGAGGAGCAGGACTGAGACTTTGATCTTGGTTGTTTTCAACACAGCATACTCCTTCATTAAGCATCTCCTAATCTAGCAGAGATCACATGTTCAAACCACACTGTATTACTGGAACCACACACACAGTCCAACTCCCAGTGAGGGGGCTTTCCTTTCCTTGTTGTTATCCCACAGGGGAACTGCTTCAAATAAAATCCCAAGTGAATGAGGAGCCAGGGCTCCCTGAGGTCAGGAGAGTCAGTGCCTTAATAGTTTTTGTTTCTTTTCAGGCCTTAGCACAGTGCCTAGAGTTCAATAAGCAGTTCTGGAATGAGTAAGAGTTTCGTGAGTTTCAAGAAAGCAAACCATATTTCGTGAAGATTGAGGATGGCTTAAAAGGAAAGTCACTTCAAAACCAAGCAAGGTTAAAGACTGCCCAAGTCTTTGAAAAAAGGAATCCAGCAAGGATTCAACAAGGTTATAAGACAGAAAAGCATTAGAGGAAAAATTAAATCATTTTTCAGTGGAGAGAAAGCTAACCTCAGAAGGCTTTTAGCATTCATTCAACTACCTGTCATGTGGCAAGAACTGTTTTAAGCTCTGGAGACGCAAACTCAGATATATGGACCTTAGCCATGAGGCTCTCTGGAGTAAGAGCACAGAAGAGGGGAGAACAAGAGAAATGACTTGAGTTTTGGGGTATGTCTGATCTATCTGGGCAACCACTACAGTGAAGTGAGAGGGGGAAGCGGGAGACAAGGTCTGAGAGTAAGAAGAGGCCACATGACATGAGGGGTCTGTTGGCTACCGTAATGCCTTGGCTTTGACTCCAAGTGAGTCGGAAAGCCCTTGGAAGAACTCGTGCAGAGAAGTTTCATGATCTAACATCTATTTTAGAAGGGTCACTCTGAATGCTTTGTTGTAAATAAACAATATGGGAGGGCAAGGGAGGAAGCCAATATCAGTTAGCAGGCTACTGTATACAGGCAAAAGCCTGGTACCTTGGCTGGGCGCGGTGGCTCACGTCTGTAATCCTAGCACCCTGGGAGGCTGAGGCGGGCGGATTGTTTGAGCTCAGGAGTTCGAAACTAGCCTGAGCAAGAGCGAGACCCCGTCTCTACTAAAAATAGAAAGAAATTAATCGGACAACTAAAAATATATAGAGAAAAAATTAGCCAGGCATGGTGGCACATGCCTGTAGTCCCAGCTACTCGGGAGGCTGAGGCAGTAGGATTGCTTGAGCCTAGGAATTTGAGGTTGTTGTGAGCCAGGCTGACGCCACGGCACTCTAGCCCGGGCAAAAGAGTGAGACTCTGTCTCAAACAAAACAAAACAAAACAAAAAAAAAACAAAAACAAACAAACAAACAAAAAGCCTGGTACCTTGAACTAGGCTAGCAATGGTGGAGTTAAGATTCTGGATATATCCCGAAGATAGATCTGACATGAATTGGTTATTGCATATGGTGACAAAAATTAAAATGATTTAATCTAATTTCTTTCTGTGGCTCATTAACATAATTAGTCAGGTAGCAGAGGGTCAAAGATGAAAGTTCAATTCCCACGTGGCTATAGACCACTTACTGATGACCCCTGGTCCCTTTGAGAACACATGCTGCAGGTCATAAGGGCACTGGGCAAGGGAAAGAATGACCCCACTTAACTATATTGCCCTGACTAGAAAAACAACACAAGGAGCCCAAACTTTATATAAGAAGCTAAACATACGCATGTAATTGAACACTTGCATACCAATTAAACAATAATTTGGGAGGTTGTTCAATGCTTCTCACATATGGCAGCTTGGTCTTGGAAGTATAAATTCATTTGTCAATAAATGTGCTAATAAATAAACAATAAATGTGCACTATAGGGAGAAGAAGAATAAAGATAAGTTCTTCTAGTCTAGTGGGGAGACAGACCTGGAAACAAACAGTGGGATCAAGATGTGCCAAGTTGTACAACTGGGTTATGCACATGGAGCTGCGTGGAAACATGCCTAACATCTCCTGGGAGAGCATGGGAGGAGAGGGAACCACCAGGGCAGGCTTCAAAGAAGAGTTGTTGTTGGAGCTGAATCCTAAAGACTGAATTTATGCTCTCCAGGAAGAATCAGGGGTTGAAGACAGGACAGAAGCATATTCTATACAGAGGGGTTAATCTATGCAAAAGAAGATGAGGACACAATTCTTCTGAGGAGCCAGAGCAATGGCTGGAGTGTAAAATATGCTCATATAATAATAACAACAATAGCTCCTGTTTACTGAGTGCTCACCATGCATGCCCAGCACCGTCCTAAGCACTTAGGCAGATTATCACATTTAATATTGACAACAATCTTCCTCATAGGTGAAGAAACTGAGACAACAGAGGTTGGGTAGGTAACTGGTCTGAGAGCCTCACTACTCATTAGAGTTGGAGTCAGGACTCACGTCCTAAGATTCTAGAGCCTGCGCTTCTTCTGCACCCAGCACCATGTGGAAGTGGAGGCAAGTGAAGACACAAAGACAGGCAGCAGCTAGGTGACAACGAGCATTGTAAGCCGGGAAGAACCACTGAGGGTTTGTACGTGGGAAGGAGTGGCTGATCAGATCTGCATTTGGAAATATCTCATCCCTGACAGTATGGAAGATGAATCAGAGGAGATAAAACAGAACAGGAAGAGCATTTAGAAAGCTACTGTAATAATAGTGGCCAGAAACGACAGGGATCTGAATAAAAGCAGTGAGAATGGAGATGAGGAGCCAAAGTCAGAAGGAAGGAACAGAAGAGGAAGCATGGGTTGGGGAACAGTGAGACATGTGTTCGGCTGTCAGCACATGAAGGGTGAGGTACTTGGTCATCCAAGCGGAGAAATCCATCAGGTAGATAGATCTATCACTATGGAGCCCAAGAAGGAGAAGACTGAGCTGGCGATCCAGGTTGTAGCAAATGCTTTTCCAATGCATGTGCACCAGGAAATCCTAAGCTTCAAGGACTGCACAATGGGATCATCTGAGGATCTTCTACAACCATCCCCAAAACAAGATTCTTTGCAATCTTACTCTTTTACCTAAAGTAGATTTTAAAATTCCAAAAGACTCATTTTCTGGGGTATCATCTGGTCTGCCTGAGCTACCCCAGGGCCCAGAACAACTCCAGGACTACCCTGGGTAGATCCTAGGGCTGCTACTATCTGAACCTGTAACTTCTCCTTCAGGTCACCAATGAAACTAGTTCAAGATATAGTCCAGTGAGTTCTGGAGCAGCTGTCTTTGGTGCAACTCTGCCCCAAACAGCCTGGAAAGCTCAAACTCTGGGTTCCTAAAAAGTGGCTCCTTGGTTTAGGAAAGCAATAGAAACACTGCCATTATACCATTCTGAAGGCACTTTAAAGGAGTCTAGCAACCAGATAAAATTTTCAGTACCATGAGTGCAGGGACACAAAGTATTTTCTCATTCTCCTATATATATATATTTTTTTTTTTTTTTTTTTTTTTCCTTTTCTTTTTTTTTTTTGGAGACAGGGTCTCACTCTGTCGCCTGGGCTAAAGTGCAGTGGCATCATCATAGCTCACTGCAACCTCGAGCTCCTGGGCTCAGGCAATCCCTCTGCCTCAGCCTCCTCAGTAGCTAGGACTATGGGTGTGCAACACCACACCCAGCTAATTTTTTTTTAACTTTTTGTAGAGAAGGGGTCTCACTATGTTACTCAGGCTGGTCTTGAACTCCTGGGCTCAAATGATGCTCCTGCCTTGGCCTCCCAAAGCCCAAATTTTTATTCAATGTGTTTTCTCATTAAAAAGGAATGAATGGTAATAAGTAGGTTGACAAAAAAATAAAAATAAAAAATAAATGAATGAATAAATAAAATTATAATCATTTAGGGATTCTCTTACTGTCAACCCAGTTTCCAAGCCTTAGCCATAGGCCTCTAGGAATATTGTTGGATGAACCTACCAATGAATGAAGGAAAACATTATTACCAATATTATACAACTTTACTTTCATTATACCTTCCTTAAGCTAAGTTTTAGAACTGCAAGTTAGCTTATAGAAACACTAAGGCATGAATTAGCAGCCCCATTATTTTTTTTAAGTTTTAATGTTTTTCACATTCATTTTGTCCTCTAAGGCTCTACAAAATCTGCCCCCACCTATTGAAACTCATGTTCCCCTACACCCTCTTAAAGGCTCTCTAAATAATGTCATCAAAGGAGGACAGCAGTCTGGGTCAGGATACCTGGCTACTGGTTTGAGAAATTAGTTTAATATCTCTACATCTCTGGGCATTAAATTGTCTACATGTAAAATATATTTAATAACTTATGCCCTACTGAGATGATAGGATGAGATAAAAAATATAAAAGTGCTTCTGGAAAGCATAAAACCAAATTCATACTTCTCCCCTTCCCCTCTCCACTTGGAATGCTCACCATCTAACCCTCTACCTAACCGAATTCTGAGGTGCATGCTCACTTCTCTAAGCAACTATGCCACCCTTCTCTTTTCTGATCTCATAACTGGAGCCACACTGTTCCCCTCTGGGTCTCTCCTGACTGTTTTTAGTGAGGTGGGTTTGCTCATCCTGCCCCAACAACTGAAAGGTCCTCTAGAGCACAGGCCACTCCTGCTCTGGCCCTGGTGTTGCCCTCAGCCCCAAGCTCCTAAGCAGCCCTCAGTCACGACTCCCTGACAGAACATGATAAATGTGGCTTGACCAATACGTTCTTTTTCTAAAAATGTAATGTGCAGCCCATTTATAATTCCATGCATTAACTAGCACTGCTTCTAAATAGGTCACCCAAAATTGCGGCTGAAATAATCCCAAAATAGGCATGGCCCTGCTTTTCTGGCCCTTGTGTCATCCCTAGATGTGAGCCTGCTCTGAGCACCCAACTCTGTTACCTCTTGGATTGGTTACCTGCACCGCTGTTGCTAAGCAGGCTGGCAGAAAGCTCTTCTGTTCCACTCAAGTTCAAGAAGGACATGCCGTCACCAGGCTGGCGGGAAGTGCTGTGCCTGCAGAGAACAGAGCCCAGCCACCTGGCTTAATGCACATAGTCCACCTCTTTTTCCTGCTCACCCTGTATCCCAGGGGGTTTCATCAAAAACTGGCCTGAATATTCAGCCACTCAGGCTGGCAACCAACAGGATTCATATCTCAAGCCACCAGGCCACAGTGCTTGGTTTGTGTGCCAGCTCTGGCCTCCTGTGGCCTGTTCCTCCTGCTCTTGTACCTGGCTGCTTTCCCACCCCCATGGTAGACCACCCACCCTCTCTGTCCCATGCCTCCATTTACAAACAAGGATGGATGTAAGATGCTTGAGTAGACGTACCAGAGTTGTTCTGGTAAAAAGGGTCCTGCCCCACCCATACCCCGTACCCATCTTGAGGGATGTCAAGGTGACTGAAAGAGGGGCCAAAGATTGCTCTTTGCAAAGTGTTTCCTAAAGCAACACAGGAATAGTGAGTCCAGGTGTAACCCAGGCTCATGCTTGTGAAGGCTTAAATGACTTTCTTCCCATACTGCTTCTCTTTAGATGCCTTGTAACGCATTCAGAGTTCTCAGAACTCAAAAAGAGTTGTTTCCATAAACATAGGCCTTGATTTCCACTGCTTTTAGCATTAACGTCTTCTAAACTCAACAGTGGAGTTTCTCAATGATCAAAATGACAAAAGTCATAGAGAGGCTGCCCAAAACATAGAGCATGAATCATCTGTTTCAGCACTCCAAACCCAAAGCATTTCCTCTCTCGTTTTCATCCTTGACTGAGGTGTAGAAAAACCCATGTTTGAGGTTTTCAAAGTGTGTTTTGGATTGAAGATAAACCTAAAGCAGGGCCTGGGTAATATCTCAGGCAAAAATGTCAGGTTGTCTGCTTTGTACTTTGCCCTGGTGAAGGGAATGACATTGACTGACAAAGGAAGGTCCTGATGTCATATTGTCTTTTTAAGTCTTATAAACATGTTTTGTCAGCTGTCTGTTATGCACATTGTCCTGGGTGCTAGGGAGTGTTCTCAAGTTACCTTCTGGAGCCCTGTGCACATCCTCACCTTCCAGCAGCTTCATGATATGCTAACTCCAGCAGCTCTGCAGAGGAGTGAGTCAGGTCCCTCTGCCCACTGCCTTGCAGCTCCGCCATATTCTGCCGGGTCTGGTGATGGATCTGGATAGCCTCTCCGGATGGTCCTACCCAGACAAAGAACCACTGAGCATCATTCCCACCTGACAGCTGTGCTGTGCACTTAACTGCAATTGTCCTTCTTTCCAGCTGCCAGGATGGTGTTGGAGAAATTAAAAGAACAGGAGAAATTGAAAGAAGAACACACCACACAGGAACATTATACAAGGGGCCCTCTGGCATCCAGAGAGGACACCTCCTCTTCCTAAGCAGGATCCATCATATTGTGGGGCCTCATGTTTATTATCCTGTCCAGTCTATTAAGAATATTTTAGAAGCCTGTTTCATGCACACCAACTGAGACACCATAGAGAATATACCAGTATAGGAGGCAAGGTCCATCCCCAGGAGGGTTAACACAAACTCTATGAGAAGGAAACACAAGTGAAACACCAAATGACTCTGTTAATACTTAAGGAAATAATAACTATGACTCTAAGAAGCAGAAAATGTTTAAGTGCAAAGAAGACAGAGTAGGAGATAAATTAGAATTAGTCAAGCCTACTGAAGAAATCTTCCTAGAGAAAGAGAAGTTTTAGAGCTAAATGTTAAACAAAGTTAATGAGGGTAGGAGAAGGCAACTGGGTAGAAGAAATTATATTTGTGAAATATCAAACGTGAAAGAGGCAAAACGTGTGCAGGTGACCACAATATTATTGAGAAAGATAGGAGCCTCTGAGGAAGGGAATGAGGAGAGAGGCTGGGAAGCCTGGCAAAGGAAGGCCTTAGCTATCAGAAGGCCAGGTTGGCAGGAGGAAGGAACAGAGTAAGCCATGTTTGGAGAATATTGTTTTAGTAAAGTGTGTGTGAAGGGTAGGAGAAGGAAAAGCACACAAGCAAGAAGAGCCGAAGGTCATGGAAAAAGCATCAAGAGCTCTGTTGAGGATGCGAGGGTGATCTGGCTGCAACATCTGTCACCCCATTGATCGCCAGGGTTGATTCGGCTGATCTGGCTAGCTAGGCAGCTGTCCCCTTCCTCCCTCACCGCTCCATGTGTATCCCTCCCGAAGCTGCGCACTCGGTCGAAGAAGACCACCTTCCCCGCTAGAGGACTGGTCTTCGGTCAAGGGTATATAAGCAGCTGCGCTCCCCTGCTAGAACCTCCAAACAAGCTCTCAAGAGCTCTCTTAAGAGATCCTAAAGGGAGCCAGTGGAAAGGAGAAGACACCAGAAAGAAACAGGTAGTGTCACTGATTATAGCAGAGGTAAGAGGGCGAAAAGGGGTTTGGGTCACAGCCATGACCCAGATTCATTTCTCACTAATTTAACTTTTAAACACTAAAAATAAGTGCAAAAGAAAATAACTAGAATTTCTAGGCATTCAGCAGGATGGCTTCGATGAAAAAAAAACGAACAAACAAACAAACCTGGAGCTTAAAGCATCTGTTCCTTCCCAGTCCAATAAGAGCCCATTAAGCTGAAGTTTAATTTTAGATGCAGCTTTATAAAACCTTACTGTCATCCTCTTGAGGGCAGATCACAGATCAAAAAGGATGGGCTAGGGCTGGGAGTGGTGGCTCACACCTGTAATCCTAGCACTCTGAGAGGCCAACATAGGAGGATCACTTGAGGTCAGGAGTTCAAGACCAGCCTGAGCAAGAGCAAGACCCCATCTCTACAAAAAATAGAAAATTTAGCCAGGTGTGGTAGCGTGTGCTTGTAGTCCCAGCTGCCTGGGAGGCTGAGGCAGGAGGATCGCTTGAGCCCAGGAGTTTGAGGTTGCAGTGAGCTATGATGACACCACTGCACTCTTGCTGGAGTAACAGAGTAATACTCTGTCTCGAAAAAAAAAGATGGGCTAGGAAAAGCAGTGAATGTGAAAAAAAAAAAATTTCTTTTCAGTTGTCAGAGACCCCTAGAAGAAAACAAAGTAACAACTCTGTGTAACCACGACAGCAATATCAATATCCAGAGAGGATTTAGAGCAGAGGGAATGGACGGGAATAAGGGACATCAGTCTCAGCAAAGAAAGCACACGCCGAAGCAGTCCCTTTCAAATAGAAAAAAACAAGCCCTTAGGTTTACACAGCTAGTTAGTTACAAAGCCTGTTCATGAGAACCCCTGGGATAGCCAAAGTGGATGTGGTTATCCCCCTCTTACTGGAAGCTGAGACACTAGACCAAAAACACATGGATAATTAGTGCTGAGGACCACCAGGCTGGCAACTCCTAGTCCAAGCCCCTTTCCTGAGCAACCAACTTACCCACAGGAAAAGTGTGCATCCAGCGCCTTCTGTTGGACGTGAGCTTCATGGGCATTCGAGAGGGAGCAAAGGGGTTAATCAGTGCTCGCTGGGGTGTGTATCCACCTGGCCGCACATGTAGCATGGATTCTGCGCTGCCTACGTGGAACCTCCCCGGTGCGCTGGAGTCTCGTTGTGGTGGCTCCATCATGTTCTCCAGGACATCTGCCAGTTATCATGGAGTTGGGGCACAAAGAAAAAGCACAGAGCCATGAGGAAACCAGAAGTAGGCAGACTGATAGCCAAGGCTGACAAGAATCGTGGACATCATAAATGTCAGGCAGTGAGAGGAATGAGGCAAATTGCCAAACTATAAAGAAAAGAAATATGTTTGGGTTTGTTTACTTTCTAAATACTTGGGAGAAGGGGGTTCTGGTTCCTAGATTACTGGCCCAATGAAGCCACACACAAACCTAATGAGGAGGACCACACATCACCTGGAGACGCTGGACTTTGTGTTGGATGCAATGACTGAATAATGGGACTTGAGTTGTCTCCCTGGAGAAAGAGGTATTTTCTGTATGTGGGAGGAACAATAAAAATAGATATTTGGTGGCCAAAAGGGCAAACCCTGGCAGAATTAATCAATTTTGTTCACTAAACCCATCTGATTTTCCTTTTGGGCACATAGCAAGACTATAAAGTTCCCAGACCCTTTGTATTGAAGCCAAATGACTTAGTTCGGCCAATGGAACACAGGTAGAAGTGATATGTTTCAATTTCAGGCCTGGACCACAATAATCTCCATGCATGATCCCCATTCTCTTTTTCCCTTCTGTGGCAACTTGGGAGACCAATGTTGATGACCATGTGATCCCAGGATGGAGGGATCCTGGGTCCCTGAATGACTAAGTGGATCTGTACCTCCTCCCGTTGACTCAGTAGACTGCGACATGAATAAGCAATCAAATGTTATGGTGTCAAAAAAAAAATTCTTGGCCTTGAGGTGGCTTACACCTATAATCCTAGCATTTTGGGAGGTCAAGGCGGGAGAATTGCTTGAGGCTAGGAGTTCGAGACCAGCCTGAGCAAGACCCCGTCTCTACAAAAAAAAGAAAAATTAGCTGGGCACGGTGGCGCACACCTGTAGTCCCAGCTACACAGAAGGATTGCTTGAGCCCAGGAGTTTGAGCTTGCCGTGAGCTATGATGATGCCACTGCACTCTACCTCGGGCAAAAGAGACTGTCTCAAAAAAAAAAAAAATTACTAGGGAAAAAGAATGAAGAAATGGATGCATCCAGCCTTGACCAGCCAAGGAGATGGCATGATATTTATATTCAACCTGTCCCGTCCAAGGGCAGACAAGTCCCATTACGGAGATGGAGGCAATATGCCTGAGTGGATCGAAGAGCTCAAATCCACAACCGCTCCTCTTAATGTGTATCTGATGTTCACTAAGCAATCACCCAGATTTGAAAGTGGGTCCAGCAAATACAAACTCCAGGGAATCCATCTTGTCCATCGTTATCTACCCAATGCCTAGCACGGAACCTCATATATCATAATACTGTATTTCATTCAAGGTGATTTGCGTGCAAGAAGAGAACGTACAGATCTCCATGAAAACTGTATTTTTCATTGTAAATTAACAAACTGATGCTCTGATTTACCAAATAGAAAAGAATATGGTCTAGTTCATTATTATGGAAATAAAAGAAGAAAATCCAATTTAAAAAAAAAAAAGATGAGCAGATAGGCGCTTCCACCATCTTCCCAGTCTCAGTCAGACGGGCGCGGAGACGCTTCTGGAAGGAATGCCGTGATGGCCGCCCAGGGAGAGCCACAGGTCCAGTTCAAACTTGTATTGGTTGGCGACGGTGGTACTGGAAAAACCACGTTCGGGAAACATCATCTGACTGGCGAATTTGAGAAGAAGTATGTAGCCACCTTGGGTGTTGAGGTACATCCCCTCGTGTTCCACACCAACAGAGGACCCATCAAGTTCAACGTATGGGACACGGCCGGCCAGGAGAAGTTCGGGGGGCTGAGAGACGGCTATTACATCCAAGCCCAGTGTGCCATTATAATGTTTGATGTAACATCAAGAGTTACTTACAAGAATGTGCCTAACTGGCATAGAGATCTGGTACGAGTATGTGAAAACATCCCCATTGTGTTGTGTGGCAACAAAGTGGATATTAAGGACAGGAAAGTGAAGGCAAAATCGATTGTCTTCCACTGAAAGAAGAATCTTCAGTACTACGACATTTCTGCCAAAAGTAACTACAACTTTGAAAAGCCCTTCCTCTGGCTTGCTAGGAAGCTCATTGGAGACTCGAACTTGGAGTTTGTTGCCATGCCTGCTCTTGCCCCACCAGAGGTTGTCATGGACCCGGCTTTGGCCACGCAGTATGAGCATGACTTAGAGGTTGCTCAGACAACTGCTCTCCCGGATGAGGATGACGACCTGTGAGAATGAAGCTGGAGCCCAGCGTCAGCAGTCTAGTTTTATAGGCTGTCCTGTGATGTCAGCGGTGCGGCATGTGTGCCACTTTACTATCTAGCTAAGCGGAACATGTGCTTCATCTGTGGGATGCTGAAGGAGATGAATGGGCTTCGGAGTGAATGGCAGTTTAAAAAATACCTTCATTGTTTGGACCTGCATATTTAGCTGTTTTGGAACGCAGTTGATTCCCTGAGTTTCAAATATAAGACTGCTACAGTCACATCACAATGTTCAGTGGTGAAATCCTGTTTGTTAACTGTCCTTCCCATTCCTTTTCGTTTAGAATCAGAATAAAGTTGTATTTCAAATAAAAAAAAAAAAAAGATGAGCACATACTTTTAAAAGGATGAAAAATAGAACGAAGGGATAAAGTGGGTCAAAAATACGTGTGGGGGAAAGAGGAAACATTTCTGTGTTACATTGGGTGGGTAGGTGAGTGAGAATCCCTAAATGTAACACAGAAACAGAAAACTAAGGGCCTGTAGATTGTGTTGCCTTATAGTATTCCAGTGACTTGCTTTTTTGGCTCCCCAATATTATTAAGGAACATGAAACCAATCTGACTATTCAGATAATCAAAAAAACCCCAAAAACTGTTTTCAAACCTGCTTGGATTAAGAGCAATGTTATCTAGCCAGAAATCTGGCTTTTAGAATAACAAAGGTTTTTAAAGGCTTAACATTTAGCTTAATTTACCTTTTGTTATGGACTCTTTTAGCAATATTTTCAGCAAAACAGGAGTAACTGTAGTGCAAACTTAAATATTTCCAAAGAGTGGAAAAAAGCTAACCTCAAAATTTCCAAATATATTAAAATTCTTTTGAATGCTAAATTTAATGTAGATAAGTTATATTCTATAACCACATAACTTAATATCTGCTTTCTTTTTTAAGATTTCCTCTTCATGCTTTCAACCGGTAGAAAAACTTTTCTCAGCAATCAAAATTTTCATAGGCTCTTGGCATGGTGTCTATGGTGCCTACTCAATAAAAGTGCCCTGCTCCCCAATCCTGAGGTCCCTGGAGCCGACGGTTTCCCCTATTAACGTGCTGGGTCATGCAAAACACTCTTGCCCTTTGAGAATCCTTCCAGGTCAGCTATGTGTATATACAACATTCTTAAGTCTGTGACCAAAAATCCGGAGAGATATGCTTCCATCTATATGTTAATAACATTCTTAAATAACGAAATTATAGAGAAGGAGAATGATTAACGTGAGAGTGTGGCTATAAAGGGCAGGGCGCAGTGGCCCAGTGGCTCAGGCCTGTAATCCTAGCAATCTCAGAGGCTGAGGTGGGAGGACTGCTTGAGCTCAGGAGTTTGAGACTAGCCTGAGCAAGTCTCTACCAAAAAAAAAAAATAATAATAATAGAAAAATTAGCTAGGCATGGTGGCACGTGCCTGTAGTCCCAGCAACTTGGGAGGCTGAGGCAGGAGGATCTCTTGAGTCAAGTTTGAGGTTGCAGTGAGCTATGATGATGCCACTGCACTCTACCCAGGGCAACAGAGTGAGACTCTGTCTCAAAAAAAAAAAAAAAAAAAAGGGTGGGGGTAGCATGAGAGAGCCTGGTGGTGGCATAATAGTTCTGTACCTTAATTGTGGTGGTGGTTACACGAACCTATACATGATAAAATTGCACAGAGATATATTAATATATACAAACAAATGAGCATATGTAAATCTGGTGAAATTGAATAAGCTCTGTAGATTGATAAGGAAAGAAGCAAACCCTTCGATCCTAGGCCTAAGGAAAGCTCTACATTAACACATGGAAAGGTATATATAGTTACAGTGATGAGGGAAGAAATGGTAGACACAACAGTATAATACATACATATCTAACAGCTAAGGTGATTCTCACAACTGCACTGGCATGGAAATAATTAAGATGTGGGACTCACGGCCCTGACCACCCCCCCCCACCTCCCATCCCCCACTACAGTAAGAAAGCCATCCCCAGCTCTGCCTGTGTGTCAGCACTCTGACCTCGAGTGCTGGTGTAGCCCAAGGAGCTGCTAACTTCATACTGGTGCAGGTGGGGGTGTGGGATCATCAGGATGTTGGTGCTCTTGCCCAGGGAGCTGTCATCAGAAGCCTGGCTCCTCACTTCCTCAGTGGGCAGCACACGGCTCGGCAGGGAAGGGCTGGATGAGACATCACAGGAGCTGGCACTCTTTCGACTCTGACTCTCCCGTTCTCGCACAGACCTGTCAGGCGAGAGACAAAAAGTTACCACCAAGCAAGGCATGCTGTCCCACTTCCAAATTTCATCACCAGCCCAAGCCACTTGGGAAACCAGTGACAAAAATCTCCAGTGTAATCTATGACTGGGAAATATGTGGGAGGTACTTTGCCCTGAGCCACTTGAGATGTGTAAGAAAGGGAGAAATGACTGATAGTTCTCAAACAGCCAAAGGCCTGGGACCACAGCTGTAAAGAAGTGACAGCTCCAGTGTGACCCCACCTGATCCCACTGATTCCAACTGACAAGATATGATGTGATACAAGACAAAGTACACAGTGTCCCCGAAGAAGTCTTATTGCCCCCAAATTTGAACCTGAATCTAATCACGCCTCTACGCCTCTAGAGATAATTGCCAGTTTAAAGGAAATTCAGAGACTAGAGGAAAAGTTAAACATAACAAGGAAACAGTCAACTAAATGAAGAAAGCAAGACAGTCTACTGTTGTACACACACACAAAAGACATTACAACCAAAGGAAATGTGTGGATCTTGTTTAGATCCCAAGTTATACAAACCAACTGCAGAAACACATTTTTGAGACAACTGCGAACTCAGAATATGGATTGGCTATTAGAGGATATTATGGGATTAATGTTAATTTTGTTACTAGTGATAATTTTTTCTAAAATATCCTTATTTGTAAGAGACACATACTAAAGTATGTATCAGCAGCGAAAAAAAAAAATAGGAATGCCTAGGATTTGTTTTAAAATTCTTCAGCCAAAATTTAAAATGTGGGAGAAGTGATGAAACAAGACTGGCAACATGGGGATAACTGTTCATGATACTAGTCTCTCCGTTTGAGCGTGACTGAACGTTTCTTTAACAAATGTTTAAAAAATAATATACTCTTATTGAAACATAAAACTCCCTAAGGTAAGAATCTCTAGAAACAGTAGGAAGAAGGATCAAAAGGAGAGAAGCCCAACGGGGAAGCAAAAACTAAGAATGGAAGAGTTAGCCCACCAATAGGACCGCCCTTCTGGCATCAGAGCCATTCCCTTTCCTCCTGGAAGGATTTTGTTTTAAGTGAGAGCTTAGATAAAGCCTGAAAATAGATCCCACGTGCTGACTACATTTTCTTGTTTTTCAACAGCAAATGTTTGAGCACCAGTATATGCTGAGCCACGTGCAAGGGGTAGAGCACAGATTAAGACATGGTTTGTGCCTTCAAGGTACCTGGATACCTGAAATACCAGGTCTTGCCGTCTTTGATTAGACAAAAGAAAACCAAAAATCTTGAACTATGAAAACATTTTTAAAGACTGAAGAAAAGCCCCTAAGTAGCTACTACTGAGTCTCTAAGCAGCACCCATGTGTAGGAGAGCTGCTGTTAATAGCACTTATTCTGAGCTCTCAACAGTCTCAGGAAGAGACATTATGACGGGTTGAGGGAAAAGGACAAAAAACAATCATGTGGCCACAAGAAGTTCATTTGCCACAAAATTAAGAGACATGATACTCTTCTAGTTAATTGTGCTTAAACTTACACATTTAAGAAATCTGGAAAATGGTATTTGGTCAACTGGGGAAAAACAAAACCAAGGTAGAATTCTGTTTCACACATTCATGAAAAAAAATTCTACATAAAGAACTAAGCATAAAATCCAAGACTATAAAGTAGTAGAATAAAATATAGGGCTGGGCACGGACGGTGGCTCACGCCTGTAATTCTAGCACTTTGGAAGGTTGAGGTAGGAGAATCGCTTGAGCCCAGATCAACCTGGGCAACATAGCAAGACCCCATCTCTTAAAAAAAATTAAAACTTAGTCAAGCATGATGGCATGTGTCTATAGCCCTAGCCACTTGGGAATCTGAGGTGAGAGGACTGCATGAGCCCAGAGGTTCAAGGTTACAGTGAGCTATGATCAGAACACTGAAATCCAGCCTGGGTGACAGAGCAAGACCCTATCTCTAAAAAAAGTAATAATAAAAGAAAAGATATGTCTATAACCTCAGGGTTGAGAAGGCTTTCTTACACAAGACCTGGAAATGAATAGATTGGTAAATCTAACTCCATCACAATTTAAAACTACTGTATGACCAAAATACCACAGAGCAAATTTAAAAAGCAGGAATTAAAGAAAGAAAAGTTCTTGCCCTCTGAAAATAATAAACCTAAAAGACACTTTGGGTCTAAGGATCTATATTAGTGCCAGCCTGGTAAGAAGATTCTAAAATTTGTGGCTTGCTTCTCTTGGCTGGAATTCCTTC